TGGTGAGACCCGGGGCCGTCTGTGTGTGTGTTGGCTTGACAGTGGGACGGCCCTTTACAGATGCCGCTCTCTCAGGCCTTCATGTCCCATCACAGATAACAGAAATTGTTTCAGCTCAGAGCAGAGGAGCCAGCTGCTTCTGAGAAATCATGACTAAAGAGAAGACAAAGTACTTTCTGAAAAAAAGCAGGCCACCTGATTAATGGCTTTCTCTGTGATTCCCAGAACCCAGAACCTCCATCTTGAAGGGGGGACTGGCATGGCTGAGTCAGAGAGCTGACACCTTTCAGGTGGACAGACTGCCACTCCTCATGCAGCCTGGTCTGCAACACTGAAAACATCCACACCATGCAATCACACATCCACACCATGCAATCACACACGTCCACATCATGCAATCACACATCCACATCATGCAATCACACATCCATGTCATGCAATCACACACATCCACACCATGCAATCACACATCCACGCCATGCAATCACACATCCACGCCATGCAATCACACATCCACGCCATGCAATCACACATCCACACCATGCAATCACACACATCCACACCATGCAATCACACATCCACACCATGGAATCACACACATCCACACCATGCAATCATACACGTCCACATCATGCAATCACACATCCACACCATGCAATCACACATCCACACCATGCAATCACACACATCCACACCATGCAATCACACATCCACACCATGCAATCACACACATCCACATCATGCAATCACACATCCACATCATGCAATCACACATCCACATCATGCAATCACACACATCCACACCATGCAATCACACATCCACACCATGCAATCACACATCCACACCATGCAATCACACATCCACGTCATGCAATCACACATCCACACCATGCAATCACACATCCACACCATGCAATCACACATCCACACCATGCAATCACACACATCCACACCATGCACTCACACATCCACACCATGCACTCACACATCCACACCATGCAATCACACATCCACACCATGCAATCACACATCCACACCATGCAATCACACATCCACATCATGCAATCACACATCCACACCATGCAATCACACATCCACACCATGCAATCACACATCCACACCATGCAATCACACATCCACACCATGCAATCAC